TCGGTGTTCTAGAGGCCTCCAGACAGCAAGTAATAAAATCGGACGAAGAAAATAAAAATCTGAAAAATGAGTTGACTAACAAGATTCTTGGCATAACTGGTCGTTTACAGAAGGAATATGATAAAGTAGAAGCTCAGAATCTAAAATTGTATGAGGAAGTAGCGTTAGGCCTAACTGAAATAGCAAAGCGAGATGAACAAATCATAGAACTGAGTACCCAGATTGATCTACTAAAAAATTCTCATGCGACTGAAGAGGATAGAATGAATAACGATATTGAAAGGTTGGAAATGGAACTTAAGGAAAAGTGTGAGTTGGTTGATGATCTGAACAAGAAGCATGATGCTCTAAAGATATGTACAGATGAACTGAAACTAAAACTGAAAGGTGTGGAATTGGATAGCGAGAGGGAAGTGACGTCTGAAGATGCAGTTTGAAGATCTTGTGTAAAGGACAATGAATGTGTGTATTTGGTGACGTAAATACAAAGCATATGGGTTTTAGCTGTAGATAAAGTCAAATGCTGGTTTGACTTTGACCATTTAGATGTATGTTGTGATGAATTTGAGATAGACTTAGTCTCATTATTCAAGTGTTGAGTTTTTCCCAATTTTCTTCTTTGTTTCCTTCTGTACGCATACATACACAAAGCAATAAGAGAACCCAGTTCATGCATGGCAATTTGGTGTCCAATTTTTTTTGTTCTAATTCCTTTACAAACACGTTTACACACACATTTTGTAACAATTTGGTATTATAGCTACAAGGTGGAAGAATCTCGTTCGAATATGAAGGAGATATGCAATTTCTGTGATTAATCATGTGAAGAATGTGATATTAAACATTTGTCTTGGGTGCCTATGTGGCTATGTATAGGACATATCACCCTTTCACAGTATTTTTTTTTTCCTAACTAGTATCGTGTCACAGTATTCGGATACATCAATTATTAGGGATGAGCATATAGACCGGGGAACCGGCCGGAACCGGAACCGGAACCCGATGGAACCGGTCGGGCCGGGATCGGTACTATAATTTTGTCAATTTTTGGAACCGGGACCCGGTAAGAACCGGTCGGTGGAACCGGCCCAAAACCGGGAACCGGACCGGATAACTCACTCAAAATTTGAAAGTTGCATAACTCACTCAATATAATTTTTTTTGCCCGGAATCTTTTTCCTACATGTATATTATGATTTGTAGTTAAGTTTAGACTATAAAAACACTTGATTTGGTTAAAAATTGAATGAGTTACAAGCCCCGCAAAGACGGATGTCAAATCAGAATTTTTTTTATGTTTCAGCAATTAAATGTAATCTGACTTTATTGTTCAAATGTGCATAACTCACTCAATTTAACCTTTTTTGACCTGAATCTTTTTCTTACATGTAGATTAGGATTTGTAGTTAAGTTTAGACTATAAAAACGTTTGATTTGGTTAGAAATTGAATGAGTTACAAGCCCCGCAAGGAAGGGTGTCAAATCAGAATTTTTTTATGTTACAACAATTAAACGTAATCTGACTTTGTTGTTCAAATGTGCATAACTCACTCAATTTAAGTTTATTTGACCTGAATCTTTTTCCTACACGTAGTTTAGGTTTTGTAGTTAAGTTTAGACTATAAAAACGCTTGATTTGGTTAAAAATTGAATGGGTTACAAGTCCCGCAAGGAAGTGTGTCAATTCATACCGGTTCCAAAACCGAAAACCGGTAAAAACCGGAACCGGTAGTACCGCCGGGCCGGTTCGGTTCTTGATTTTGGCCGAAGCCGGTTCCTGGTTCGGGTCCAGGTCGGGCCGTTTCCGGCCGGTTCGGTCCGTTTGCTCCTGCCTAGTAAATATAGATTCATTAGCTTTTTCCATCGTTAACTTCTCAATCAATTTATTCTTAAGGCCATCTCCAATGGTAGTTTAATGGGGAGTTGAATGGGGAGTTTAATCCCATTAAACTCAAAATCCCCATTGTGGGTTAATGACATGGCACTCAATAGAATGGAGAGTTCAATCCCCATTGAACTCTACACTCTCTCTACTCACACACACACACACACATAAATGATGTGTCAATCCATTAAATTATATTGAGTTTAATGGAGTGTAGAGTTTAATAGGTAAAATGGTATAGTGAGTGGAATGTACATGTGGCAATCCATTGAACTCATTTGAGTTCAATGCATTGGAGATGGCCTAAGTTTTTGGTTTAGGCTTCCGCAAATCATAACAAATTACTATAAGGCCATCTCCAATGGATTAAAACCATGGAGAGTTGTATGAAATGCCAAGTAGGAAAGAGAATGTATACTGTGAGCATATATATGTATATGTAGATCATAAGAATGTGAGAAAGATGAAGTAATTTGATTAAAGGCTTCAAGCCCTTTTTGCTGTGAAAGTTTTGATACAGCTTACAGAGAAAGAAACGTTTAAAGATACATATACGAAGAGAATTAAACTAATGGGTATAAAATACATAAAGCTACCCTAAGATATAAGGAATATACAAAACGGACCCCAAAGATACAAGATAACTAGAATATACACTAACATCCCCCCTCAAACTCAAGTAGGGAAGGAATGGTTCAACTTAAGTTTGGAAACTAAAAACTGAAAACGACTGGGTAGGAGTGCCTTGGTGAATATGTCAGCATGCTAATCAGTCGTGGAAATTGGAAAAAGTTGAACAGTTTTACGAACTACATGTTGTCGAGTAAAGTGACAGTCAATCTTAATATGTTTTGTGCGTTCATGGAACACATCATTATGGGAAATTTGAATAACACTGTTGTTGTCACACCAAAGTGGAGTAGGAAGAGGCTGTGGAGCACCCATGTCAGACAAAAGCCAACGTAACCAGACTAATTCTTGAGTGGTGTCGGCTAGCGCTCGATATTCAGCTTCGGTACTTGAGCAGGCTGTAAGGGACTGTTTCTTACTCCTCCATGATATGAGAGAGTCACCCAGAAAGAAACAATAACCTGTGGTAGATCGTCGATCAGTCAAATCTCCATCCCAGCCTACATCTGAAAAAGCTTTCAAGACTAGAGATGATCCAGACGGAAAATGAAGTCCATGAAACAATGTACCCTTGAGGTATCGAAGGATCCGAAGAACAGCTGCATAATGATCAGAAGAGGGAGCTGCCATAAACTGACTAACCGTATGAACGGCATAGGCAAGGTCGGGACGCGTAACCGTAAGATAAACCAATGAACCGACCAGCTATCTGTAAGCAGTAGGGTCACTAAGAGGGGTGCCACTCCCAGGGACCAAATGAGAATTTGGCTCTAACGGTGTAGAAACCACTTTTGCATCTGTAAGACCCGAGCGAGACAATAAATCTAAAATATACTTTGCTTGCCATAAGTATATTCTTGAAGCATCAGATAATACCTCAAGGCCCAGAAAGTAGTGAAGATTGCCAAGATCTTTCATCTCAAAACAAGAACTGAGAGACTGTTTTAGTTGCAAAATACCAGTAGTGTCACTGCATGTAATGATCATGTCATCAACATATAGCAAGAGCAGAATAGTTCCATTGTCTGTGGTACGAGTGAATAGACCCAAGTCATAGGGGCTTGAGGAGAATCCAAAAGTAAGAATAGTGGTGCTGAATTTTTCAAACCATGCACGTGGTGCTTGTTTTAGACCATAAAGTGATTTTCAAAGACGACAAACATGGCCAGGAGGGTGATCAACACCACTAGGGGACGCATATAAACTGTTGGATAAGGTGTCTAAGTCCATAACTTATTTGGTATATACTTGACCCGACCCGGCATGGTCC